GTGTGTGTGTGTGTGTGTGTGTGTGTGTGTGTGTGTGTGTGTGTGTGTGTGTGTGTGTGTGTGTGTGTGTGTGTGTGTGTGTGTGTGTGTGTGTGTGTGTGTCTGTGTGTGTGTGTGTTGTGTGTGTGTGTGTGTTGTGTGTGTGTGTGTGTGTGTGCGTGTTGTGTGTGTGTGTTGTGTGTGTGTGTGTGTGTGTGTTGTGTGCAATGTGTGTGTAATGTGCGTGTACGTGTGCGTGTGCGTGTCGTGTGCGTGTGCGTGTGCGTGTGCGTGTGCGTGTGCGTGTGCGTGTGCGCGTGCAGCGTCGCGACGTGTGCGCGTGCGTGTGCGTGTGCGTGTGCGTGTGCGTGTGCGTGTGCGCGTGTGCGTGCGTGCGCGTGCGCGTGCGCGTGCGCGTGTGCGTGTGCGTGTGCGTGTGCGTGTGCGTGTGCGTGTGCGTGTGCGTGTGCGTGTGCGTGTGCGTGCGCGGGCGCGTGTGCCTGTGCGTGTGCGTGTGCGTGTGCGTGTGCGTGTGCGTGTGTGTGTGTGTGTGTCTCTGTGTGTGTGTGTGTCTCTGTGTGTGTGTGTCTCTGTGTGTGTGTTTTTGTGTTGAGTGTGGGCGCGACCTCGCTTTCCAGCCCGCAAGGCTTTGCGCCCTTTGACCAAAAGTCCACAAGTCGTTCAAGTACACTTTGCGAGCTCCGGCTCTAGATTCGGAAGTGTGCAGTACAAATGCAGCACGCAAAGTACAAGTTGTGTTCATCTCAAAAATCGCTACTTTGAAGTGTACGAAAGGATTTCCTCTGAAGACAAGATAATGAAGCACGCAGCATGGAAAACAATCACAACGCACTTGGCTAATGATAAAGTCATTCAACTGCTTGCAAGATGTGCAGCTTCAACTAGCCTCATGATGTTCGCAGTCCCCAAAAGGCTTCCGAGAAGCAACGGCAGTGACTGACATCCTGGAGTACACCAGTCGTAGGTCCCCCCACCCCTCCCCCCACTGCATCCTACATCAAACCTTCCCGCCTGCGCGCCCTGCGCGGCAACGCTCAAGAACTGCTGCCCCCGCCTCAGCGAGTCCTGCGAGGCCCGCTGAGTCGGCTGGGCCATGCGCTCAAGGTTGAAATCAGCCCACCAGCCAAGGCGCATGTGTGTGTGTATATATATATATATATGTGCTACATGAAACCAACATGGATTTCAAAAGCACATTGAAGGGATATCCTCTAGAAGGTCACATATTTACTTGTAAAATGAAAACCGGTTGACCCCACGAAGAGGCCACAAATAGACAGAGGCGTCGCCCCTGAGCATGTAAGGGTTAACCCAGCGGGCCGCCACCGGACCACATTGTTTTGTGTAGTTTGGATGATGCCTGCATGGTGAATTCATCATTCCTCCTACATGTCAGAACTGTTGCGGGTTGACACAAATCATGCGGCAGCTGTATGCTTGGCGATATCCGGCTCATGCTTGTGCCGCACTGTCTTTTCACTCTGCGTGACTCGATCTCCCAGAACTATTGTCAGCGCGTAGCACGGTCAGATTAGGATACACATAGAGAGCGAGAGAGACAGACAGACAAACAATCGGACGCATGGACAAATGCGCAGATAGGTAGAAAGGAAAAAAATGATAGAGGGTGTGCGGGAATTCGCGAGTCAACTGAGAGCCTCCGCAGCAGTGGCCCCCAAACCAACACGGGCAAGCCACAGGTGGCCCAAAAAGGGTTCTGCTCTCGTGGCCACCAGCAAGGAAACAGTCCAGCTGCATCCCACTCAGCCGAACTGCGTACCCAAATCGAAGCCCTGCGAACGTTGAAGTATGACTCCAGTATGACTGCAGGCGTCTTGTCGCCTCCTCATCAAGACCTAAACTCTAAATCGCCAAAAAGAGTCAGCTGCATCAATTCTCAAAGGACTCAGGGACCCATTCCTCTGTGCGTTGCAATATTGCTTTGCCGGGTTGGTCTATTCCTCTCTATCTGCCCCAGGCAAATCGCACAGCTAAAGCTCGTTAATAGGCAGCACCTTCCGGGTATGAGACCAACCTCTTCATTCCAAAGTGAACCCAACGGACAAAGGCTCCTCAGCTAGCGGGTCGCCTGGCCTTGGAAGTGAGCGCGGTGCCGACGCATACAATCAGCACATCGGACGTTCTCAGCCAAAAAAAAAAAACGCAAGCTCTAAGGAAAGGAGGGAAGCCATGGCTGTCATGAGAAATCTAGCTGTAAGCAGAAAAGTCAGGCAAACGATGTTGCCACGGACAATCCACAGTCACAAAAGGATGTGGCTGCTGTTCATAATGCTGCTACTTAATTTCCAAAGGGCGAAACCTAGAGAGCAGGAAGCGACATCGCTGTACTACCCCAATTCATCAGCTTTGCAATTTTGCTTGTGTGGCACAACCACAACTAGGAATGCTTGGGAGTTGATGAGATCCACCCCGTTACAATGTGACATGATTCATAACCGACCTTGCCACCAGCTAACTGGAGATAGCTTGGCTGTGGAAGATGGATTCTAGAAGGGTTTTCCTGCGGGTATCTCCTGGGCTGGTTTGCCAAGGACTTGCCCTTTGCAGCATCAGCTTCTCAGGATCTTCCATCCAAGCCTCAACATGACTCTCACACAATGCGCTTTGATCCACGTGGAATGTTGTGGTGCGTTTGAAGACTTCCGATTTCCCTGGCTTTTCAGCCTTCGGCCCCTGGCGCGCCCGCCGGGCTTGCTGCAGCGGCTGGGCTTGGCATGACCGGGCCGACCGGGCTTGGCACAGCCGCGGGCACGCTGGGCGCCTCAATGGGAAAGCACAAGGGGGTTCCAGGGCGGACGGAGGGAGTTGTGCGCGGTGGTCAGGCGCGAAAGATCCATCTGACAGCGAACTGGTGAAGCGTGAGGCTCTGAAGCAATGGGATGCCCGCATGGACAAAACCTCAAGCAACAAAAGTTCCGCCTAGGACACAGAGAAGGGCCTCCTGTAGCGCTGATGCGTAGAGAACAACAACATCCTCACATTTGCCCTCTCTGCATGACCCTCCTTGACCTGCAAGGAGGCCATGTGGGTTGGAATTTCCATAACAGCAGTGACTCCACAAACTGCAATCTGCGTAGCAAAGGCAAGCAGCTCGCTGCTTGAAGAGCCAGGACATCAGGTCATGTGTCATTATCGCCCGAATCACCTGAAATTGCTTTGAAAGGTTCAAATGCATGTACCCATTTGTGTTTATGATCCATGGCAAATAGTGAATCCCTCGCTTCATGACACTGTCCCGCCGTCACTGCAACTTGCATGGCTCGGACCCACTCAGAAAGCTCCGAACAAACATTTGGCCCCGCCTCTCGGGGCCGTGCCGCCTGGAACTTGCCTGGAGGCCGGCAAGATTTAAGCGGGGAATGTGTATGGGTTGAACGGTTGGGCATTCCAATTCGATCCTTCCCGTCTGGCCTTGGAACTTCAGCATGGTGGATTGGTCGTATTCGGTTTGTGAACTTGGGCCCTCCCTGCCTTGGTAGATCCGCTTCGCCTCCGCCAGCAGATCCACCGCGCCCTCCTCCGAACAGCTTCGCAGCAGCCCTCGGCCAGGCAAACGGCGCGACCATTTTGTATGGAGCACCCTTGGACTCTGGATTCCCCATCAGGTTTACAGGTCAGACATATTAATACAATATGTTTCATGGGAATGCAGTACGGCTGAAGCTCCTTTCTGGGCAGTTTCCTGAACCAAAACGAGGGCAATTGTCGGGAAGGCTCCAACCTTCTGCCCGCTTTTCTGGTACAAGGGCGTTCCAAATGCCATAGCCGCCCATGAAGAAGCAGGGGTCTTGAACCCAGGGCAAATTTATCAACCAAAACAGCAGGCTTTGTTTTAGCAACATCCCTGCCGAGTCAAACCCTTGGAACCCGAAACCCGCTGCCTCAGGCCAAAGGCTCGGCACGCAAACAGTTCGCACTTTTCTCCATGTTCGCAATGATCCCGTCAGCAGACGAGACCAGGAACACGTGCACTCGCCTTCAAAAAACCTTGTTGTGTGTTGCAAGTGTGTGTTGCAAACTTGTGTTGCACAAGCTTTCTTGCCAGCTAAGTCAAAGCTTTGCCCTTCCAGCCAGCCGCCAACAGGGCAGCCTGAAGTTCAACTGTTGTTGTCTGGTCAGCGACAAGTGTTACCTTCTGATGACGCTTCAAGTCTTTGACCTGCACAAGAAAGAGCCACAAGACCCAAAGAAGCACGAAGCCTACCGATACAGCGATGACCAGGTTCTTGAGATCCTCCAGAAGCAGACACGCCCCCAGGATAAATGACACACAAGGGCTGGACTTCGCTGTGACTTGGCCACCTGAACCAAATAAGCTCTGCGCGTGCCAAGCCTTTCAAAAGAATCAAGCTTAGGCCTTGGGCGCATTATGTTCCGATGTGTGTACACTCTGTCAGAGTGGAAGCCAACAAGTTATTTCAAGCCCCGGGATGGCTATCTAAGCCATTTCCTTTCGCCAGAAAGGATACTTTCACTGACGGGTGCCCCATTTAAAAGAACGACACCACTGCGTTCAGGTTTTTCTGAGGTCACAAAAAGTGGAACTCTGCGACTCTAGGTTCAAAACGTTTGGACTTCACCGCCCCACGTCCAATCCCACAGAAGTTTGTTGTTGGTATATTATTTTTTCCGACTCCGTTCCATTCTGTTCGCGGCTTGGTCCCCCGATAAGAACACAAGAAGAGCGATTTGACAGTAACTCACTCCGGTGACACAGGAGAAGAAGACGCAAATTCATGCGTCTGATTGGGATAACGCTGTGCGCAGTTGGCTACCTCTTGCCCCATCATCAGTAGGGATCATCAGTAGGGTGTGTCCAGTAAGGGTCACGAGCTCTGGAGATCGATTTTCGAAGCAGCTCCCCGAAAAGGTGCCAAACATTGATACGCTACCAGGCTGGCTCTCCTCCGCAAGCTTTCAGCATCTTGCTTCACTCTATCCAGGTGACACCCGCCCTGCCACCCTGGGGCGATAGCGTCTCAAGCACTCCGTCTGGTCCATTCCGATGAGTTCACCTGAGTGCAGATGGGAGTTTGAACCTTCACGAAGCACTGTGGTTCGCTGTGTTACTAGCCTGGGCGTCCAATAATCGGCGTATTGCCACTGCCGATTCCCCCCAACTCGATCTACCCCCGGAAATGATCCTTCTGAATGCGTTCGATCAATCTGCTTGTCTAAACATGCGCACGGCATCCCGCGCTTTTCAGGGAAGTCACCAGGAGCATGTCTCTGAGAATTGGTGGAAAGTCCCAGAGAAAGCATTGTGGCATGTCTCTAAGCATTGTCGCCGCTCAACAAAAGCGCTAGCGCGACGCACCGCCATCCCACACCCTCCAGGGCCTGTCTCCTCAACGCTGTCCATGTAAATAACTTGTTGCATCAGGGCGGCCATTTTGGTCATTGCGGCTCGAACTATGGGGGAACAAGCATGAGCGAGTGCCACCCCAACGCGAAGGACAGAGAGCTATATCAATCCCGATACTCCATCCTGAACTCGACGAGTTCCAAGCCTCGATGGGAGCAAAAAGTCCACAAATGTTCGTCTGATTCGCCGGTCACACCCAAATCTAAGGCTCTAAGGGTGCTTGCGGGGTCACAGAGACTCCGGGCTGACAAAGGCAAAGGCCCCCTGTGGCTCGTCTAAACAATTTTGTGTAAAGCCTCAGCACCCGACGGCGCATGCGCAGAAGCAGCGCTGCAGCTGCAAAGTCCAGGAGTGGAAGCTCGCCGGAGGCCTCCGTCGTCCCTCTTCGGAGCTCGCCGCTTTTGAAACATGCGGGTGAAATCAACAAAAAGCTGAGCACAGCTGTCATCAGATTGGTATCTTCTGTTTTTTTTGTTTCCCCCGGCAAAGGGAGTGAGAACCAAGGGCCTACTTTGTCTTGCAATCCGCTTCATGAAAGCAAAGAGCTAGTGCGATGGTTGTCAAAGCCCTCAAAACAAATACTGGCAATGGCCAATTGAATTCAGGCCTGGAACCAAGCCAGCCAAATCGACCACGGAACAGCACAGCTGCACAGCTACGACAATTTATCCCTATCCATCACAACGCATCCCGCGCTGAAAGCAAATCCACACATGCAGCAAGGCGGATACAACTATAGCCACAGCATCCGCTCCCCGGCTGCCGTTTCGCCCAGCGGTGCGAGGGTGCGGCAAATTCAGCCCACGTGATCAGTCTAAACTTTCCGGGAAAAATGCTCTGGCTGCAACCTCGAGACACGACCAGGTTGAATTCAACAAGAATGTGCGAGGCTCGAGGAGGTTCAATCAATTCACACCCACTAAAGCATGTTGAAAGTTATGGGTCACAGTAACAAATTCCACACACCTCGTGTTCACAACTTTGCCCCTCGAATAAGTCTGTAGGCCCACAACCGATTGCTTGTCCACCGTCATGTCTGCGCTTCTCTTTGGCCTCCGCCGCCTCTGCAGTGACCGGATCTTTGCCAGTATACCTCCGGGCGATCGGCTCCAACATCTAAAACCAACCTACTTGCTATCGATGAAGCCCTTGGAAACGGTGTCTTGGTGAATGCCCACCACACAACCAAATTCCATGTCCGGGATTTGGGTGCAGCCCTTGGTCCTGGCTGTCTGTGGTCTGCTTGCTGCTTGAACCACCAAAAGAGAAGCTTCCGGCCTTTTAGACCCATCTGTTTGCATGCAAAGCTTCCGCAATCGCCTGCGTTTCAAATTCATTGGAATTGAGCGCGCTTTCAAACTTGAAGTTGGTGGTACGGGTGGTTGGCAGGAGCACTCTCTCATGACTTTGGCTTTCCAAATGCTAGCACTACTTCAACTGTGCTCATATTAATAACACCTGACGAGGAAATGCCCGGATGCAAGACGAGCATTTTTCACAGCAACCAACTGCTAGCCAACGTGATTCTAGAGGAGTTTGCAATATGGCCAAAGCAATTCACAATGGAAACACGCACTCTAGCAAGGAAAGCCTTCCCTTTGCCAAACAGCGGGCCAAAAGAAACAAACCGGAGAGGGCTGCCAAGCACATCAGCGGAGGGTGCTCCTAAACCTTCCAAATTGCGGGGATCCAGAATCCTGTCGATACCGAGAGGGGCTTTGTACCTTCATCAGGGCGCGCCGTTCCCTGGCGTTCAAGAGCAGCGGCACAGAGTCGCCAGACGCCAAGTCGTGGCTCGGTTCGCAGCCTTGAACTCGGCAAACCCCCCGAACGGGCGCACCGCAGCGAGGGCAGCGGCTGACCGGCGCTGGCCAGGAGCCCATCCCAGAGGATGTAGGTCTCCTGATGGCTCCGGTCCGGCCGGGAAGAAACGCCTCCAAACATTTGCGATGTATCATGGGTATTATTGGACGATACGTGTTGCCGGCAGGCAAACATCCTATATAATTTAATCGTGTTGCAGGCAAACATCCTAATGTTGTTGCTCGGAAATGAACCTTGTATCGCCATGCAGGGTCCATCTTAGCATAGCCGGTCTGGATTGGTAAAACGGCTTGGCGCGTTGACACATCCCCAGGAAGACATACTGCCTTGACAAAAGAAATGATGGCTCACTGACACGAAATGGTTCAAGCCGCACCCCGCGCGGCCCGCCCCCGTGTGACTTTTCCGCACGTCCGCTGAGCAGCACGTCCACAACTCATTCAAACGCACTTTAAAGCTGGCCTGTTCCACTGGGATCTGACTCAGAACCGAGTTCTCAAACATCGACCCACAAAACTGAAACCCAAACTAAAACCGAAACGCACCCCCAGTGCAACCTGCAGCTCTCTGGTGGCACGAGGTATATGAGAGGCCTCAACAGCACTCTGTGAAACCTGGCTAGACTGGGATTGCTAGGATGGCTTTGATCAGAAAGCTCTTGCACAAGCTGTGGCAACTTCATGCAAGTTCTTCATTGCTGGGCGGCGCCTCGTCTGCTCTCACAGTTGGGGAATGCGGTGAGTGCTGTGAACTGATTGGTTGGCACATTGCCACTTGTAGAATGGTGCGCCATGCCAGTGCCTGATCCACATGTTTGCATCCGATGGAACTTCGACCTTCTGCGTTTCATAATTACGCCTATATGTCTTCATGCATTATGCAAATGTATGACAATTGCCTCAGGAATGAGAGAAGTGGGGAGTGGGTTAGTGTTCATCCTTTCATGTCCGTCAATCTCCTATCAATGATGGACGGCTGAACACCCATTCCTTCCCAAGCCACGCAAACAGAGGTAAAGAGAATAGAGGCTTGGCTATCACATATCTCTTCCCATTTCTCTCCCTCACGCCGCTCGGATCTTAGAGATGAAAGGGTGTGGTAGGGAGTGGTTTGGAGGCGAGACCTGATAATAAAATATGCCATCTCCTCCCAGTCGTTCCCAATGATCAAGTTCTCAGGAAAGAGCGGTTAACGTTGGAACCTGGAAAGAATGCTATCTCTTCCTTCATTCGCCAGCCACTGACTGTCTCCTGAGCACTATTCCCTTTCATTTTTGGATTCTAAAGGTCATGTTCTACGTGAAGGAAATAGATTCTGACAAGAACAATAATCCAGCCCATCCAGCCGAATCCGGAGATGGAATTTTGACGTGCAGCGCTATGCATGGCGCCTAGCGCGGGCCGTACTTGTTCCATTTCTCCTGGCAGGAAACAACTGGCTAACATAGAACCCCAGCACCACTGTACTTGTTCATGTTATGCAGTGAACTCAGTACGTTCAACCTTGTCAACATTGCACCCTCTAGCCAATCCTATGGATGGTCACAGTCCCCTCAATACCACTTCTGGGGCCGTGTGTAAAATCCTGGAAAGGTGCGAACGCTGGATGACACACAAATGCCGATGCCTTGGGGAGGTTCAGTCCCTTGTGCTGCTTCTGGACCTCTGCCGCCTTGTCCCTGAAGGCCTGACGACTGGCAGAGACGCTGGCCGTGACGCCAGCTGGCTGGAAGCTTCCGTTCAGTCGCATGGAGTTGGCTGCTTGGCAAATTCGCTTCTTGAGGTCGGTGTGAAGTCTGCGCAGTCGATTTGCATTGCAACCTAGAAATTACGACCTAGGTGTTGAAGCCGCAGGCCTCGCTGGAACGATCTCCTCTGCACACAGGTCACCCCTTCAACCGGGCCAAGTGATTGGTCTCATTTTCGCTTCCTCCACTGCAGCTGGCTGATTCTTGGCTTATTTATTTCCATTCATGGCAAGCGGAACTCTACACCGACACATTTAGGTTCAAGAAGGGTTGAGATGGACCTGAGCGGTCTAGATGATCGGCTTGTTGCCCCTTCAAGCAGCAAAGGTGCCCTCGTAGTGGTGGTTCAGTTCATTGGTTTTAGCAACTGTGTGTGTGCGCTTCAACTTGTGAACTGGAGTCCAAAGACAGTCAAATTCCGCCGTTGGTCCTTTGTTTCGTTGCTTCTCCCTTCCCCGTGTTCCCGTCACCCCGTCCCTTTGCCACTTTGCCCCGTCGCCCTCTCCCGGCCTGGCGCATCTCGCTTTCCTCCCGCTTCGACTTGATGCGCTCCCGGATGGCCTTCTGCCGCGCCCGCTCCTCCGCGGCCTTCTCCAGCTCCCGCTCCTGCGGCTCCGCGCTTCGCGCTTCGCATCGGGACTCGCTTTGAATGCGAGGCGATGCCGCAATGCTTGCAAGGGCAGGACAAATCTGCCCCAAACACCCACTGGAGCTCCTGCAAAACACAAACAATGAATTTTGGGGCTGGGAAGCGGATGCCAAGGCTACTTTGGGAAAAAGCAACAAATACCAGTTTCAAGCAGCGCCCAGTCTGCATGGGCAGCAGGATCGATATGTTTTGGAACAGCTGCAAGGCCCAAGCTCCCTTGGAACCGCGCGCGAAGAGCAAGTTGGAAGAGCTTGCATCCAACAACGGCAAGAGCATACTGCCTTGCGGTTGTGCCTTCCCCATTTTGGACATCTAATGGCGAGCCTGCCGGCCATCATGGGTCTAGAAATTCGAGGCTTGCTGCAGGTTGGTGAACAGCCCCGCGAACGCCCAGATGGGGCCAGTGCTGGCCTTCTCACCGAAACCCTCCAGGCCCTTCATGTAGTCGGTGTAGGCCGTTGTGGCGCTCCTTGGTCCCGGATGCTCGTGAGTGATCAATGGGACTGCCTTGGAGGAACAAAAGTGATCGGGGCTAGTACTGACCGAATGTAAGGAGCTGGACAGCATGACAAGGCCATGGACAAGAACGCACACTTTGTAAGTAATCCGCCATGCCAGGAAACTTCACACAAACAACGAATCCTTGCTCCAGCCTCTCAAGCACGGCATCCTTCTATCACAAGACGCTATCTTCGGGTGTATCTTCGAATCAACTGGCCTGATTGTTCTTTGTCTGGCTTAGAGGCGTTCTTCTATTTGCTCTCTCTCTCTCTCTCTCCGTGGTAGATTGGGCCCCTGGCTGGTGCGTCTCCTCATCCACGTCATAGGATTCCGGGTGGCGGTCATACCACTCCCAACCCTCTTTTCCAGGCCCTGCCGGTTCCTGGCGCATCCCAAGCCCTCAGTCATAGCCTTGTCTCCCAGGGCTACGGGAGGATCCACGTGCATGCGGGAAACTGATCCCAACCCTCAGGTTTCAGACGAGCATGGGTAGGCGCCTTGGTTGGAGCTCAGTGTTCTCTGGGTTGCTTTCACCCGCAAATGGATAACAGGAGGTCTGCAAGCTCAGAGGCCAACACCTAGACCTCGAGAAATGCAACCATCCAAAAAGAATGGCTGGCCTGCTGAGTTGATCCGGAAGTAAAGTCCAGTTCCTGCTTTCCTGCTAAGCCAAGCCATCAAGTAGGGAGCTGCCAAGTATGGCACAAACACGGAGAACATGTGCCCATTGAAACGCGGAATTCACCAAACATGTTTCAAGATCCCTGTTTCATGTTCCAGGGCTACTCTAAAGACACTAACAGACAAACCGAGCGCCTGTTTTGGAGAAACCCTCTTCCATACCTGCCTCTGGTGACCTTCTTGCCAGCAACAAATGCGCAACAGCTAATTTCCCTTGGTTGCAAACATCCACCTCACATCACACGTCCAATCTTCAATCACAAGCCCCCCACTACCCGGTTACCACGAAGCCCCACTCGCCCCACTCGCACTCGGCCTCAGGCTGAACTTCTACCTGCGGCAGCAAAGCCTTCACCTTCCTGTACTTCAGATACCTTGCCCCCGAGAACACGAACGCCCGCCCCCCGCCCCCCCCCCCAAAAAAAAAAAAAGAGCAACCTCCCCACCGTGGCCGACATTGGCTGAATCGGCTAACATGGCAGCCCGACAACTATTCGCAGGCAATCTCTTGTGCAAGGGCTCTTGCTTCGGGGGCCCGCATCCATGGCGGAAGCCTTGCACGTTTCGCAGCCAGTGCCAATTCACGCCTAAACAACGCGAGTCAAGTACATCCTGTTGAGAAAGCTTGCCAAGGGCTTCTCACTAGGCATCGAAACGAGCCAAGCAAGCTACGTTGCAACACGCTCGAATTGAGCAAGGAAGCCAAGTAGCTGCATGTGTGATTCGAGGGATCAATCACTGGTCCTATCTGGGAGCAACCGGGTCCCTCCAGCAAAACATATCCCTTTTCCATCAGTGCAAGGCCTTCAAATGTGCCCAAAACAAGGCCCCTCTGGTTGCCTTTTGGTTCCCTGCACAAAAAGGGGGCTCAAGCTTCAGTATCATCTGTGCTGTTCAGGCAGTGCTATCTGGAACCATACTTCACTCTGCAACAAAGGGATGCATGGATTCCCCAAGCCAACATTCACCTGAGCCCTCACATTGAGAGGTGCCAAAACGCTTCTGGCCGACCCGCAAAAAAGACAAACACGTTCTTTCGGCGGCCTCAAGCACGCCTCCCGCGACGGAGGGATGCGCTCCGAGAGCTCCTGGAAAAGGAGCAAGGCGCAAGCCGCGAGGTGCCGCGTGCGGTGGAGAGAAGCTGCGTTCAAATGGCAGTTACTTCTTCTATGGGCAGACCTAAGGCAGAATGGAAATCCTGAACTGAGTCATAGGCAAGAGCTGCCAAGGCAAATTTTGTTTCACGATCGGTTGTCCAAGATGGCTTAGGATATGATTGGCGGGTGTTTATGCTGAAGATCTGTATTCTAGGGCTGGTTTGCAACGGCAGGAGCTTTAAATAGGCCTGAAAACGCCCGCAGCATGCGACAACAAGAAGAGGACAGGCAAATTCGAGGAAGGGGTTGCATGGAAGGTGGCAGGCCTCGCAATTTGCCTGCAACGTAAAGCCGACATGGCCAAACAGCAACAGCAACAGCGAGGCAGCAACAAATCATC